ATAGCACAGAGGTAACAACCCTGAGTGTAACACCAGATGAATCAAGTTTAAACCACGTATGAACTATCAATACTCTTAAGATAATAGAGATACTTTTCTAACAAGTACTAACTCACAGAAAGCGAAAGTTCAAATAAGACTTCTAATCATTTTCTAAGTGAATATTAAAGAAAAAAGGTAAGGGTCTTTTTCAATATCTTATTTCTGATAATAAAGAAGATCAATAAAAGTAGAAACTGTCAGCTTTCAAAACTACCATATGATTTACATATCCTTTATATCAACCTTTAAAATAGACTATAGACAATTAACATTTCAACTTTTAAAGTTAAGAAAGTATTTTAAAGGAATTTTTTAAATAATACTGAGTTTTAAATTCACTTAGTATTGTTTGTTTGAATCTTCCCATTGATGTTTAAGACTGCAACTGATCAGTCTCTTATTAGTATATGTGCATATTGTGCGTATTGCCTCGATATTGCCTTAATTCACAAGCATTATAAGCAAAGATAGATAATGGCTAGCAGTGGAATCCAGGACGCACGTCTTGTCCAATTTGGGACTCGTCAACTGGACTCAGTAGGTGAGTGGATAACGTAATAGCGTTTGAAGCGAAAGGTACTGGGTTGGAGTCTCAGAGTGAACATCAACTCTGTGATGCAGGTATATCCAGTTGACGAGTCCCAAATAGGACGAGACGCCCGTCCTGGATTTCACTGCTAGCCACTATCCATCTTTGCTTAATACTGAGCGTCATTTTAATTTTAAATAAGGAATACTTTAATTGCAAAATGTCAATCAATTGTCTCAGACTTCGTTGTTCTGTTGTTTCCATACCAATCATTTTCTGTTCTCGTTCTCTTTACTTCACTCTTCTTAACCTTCTGCTACTAGACATTTTACTTCCGATTGATGATATATACTACTTATATGTGTTGACATCAGTAACACACATAACAACTTTTTTTCAAAACAACGAATTTGGTGGATGAAATAAACTATGTAGAATCATGAAATGTATTACTGAAAAACTCATCACATAAAAATAACCAGATGATCTCATTTACAAATCTATAATACCTTATTATAGATATATATGATCTTAATGGTAACAAAAGTATAAAATACAGTCAGCAGTTACGTTTGTGACACTAATCTCAGTAGTGAAGATAGTCATTATAAGTCATTATAAGATTAGATTTTATACAATACAATCAGTTTAGCTTTGAAATCCAAACTGAAGATGACAGTATTTAATGATGAATGAGGTGAATTCAATATATTTGATAACTTTCTTCGTACTTAAGTACAACTTAATTAATTTGGTTAGTTCGAAATGTTTGCATCGTTGGAAGTCAAGAAATAAGATGTTAGTCAGAGAACAGTGAATTATTTTGTAACATTAAAATAAAGTTTAAGTTAACGCCATAACAAAGTCTTTACAGGTATTCAAAGCGATAATTTTTTTACTATTGATGACTATAATCTTATCATATAATACAATAGATGTTGGTTTTCAATATATATTTTTTCTATGACACTAAATGAATCACGATTAGTTAAATTGAATATGAATAGTTCGATCAGAAGGGGTTTTGTTGAGATTTCAGTATTTCCATAGTTGAAATCATGAGTCACTTGAAGCTAGACTAACATGGAAAACCTGGAAATACTGCTTGACGGCCATTTCATCCCATTGTGGGACTCCTCAGCAGTGCGCATCCACCATCCCGCCTCTCGAGATTCAAACCCAGGACCTACCGGTCTCGCATCAGAGCACTTAACCGATAGACCGATAGGACGAGTTGGACGTCAAGCAGTGTTTCCAGGTTTTCCATGGTGGTCTAACTTCAATTGACTGATGATTTCAACGATGAATATTTATCTTAGTTCCAGTTCATCCGAAAACATTAAGTTTTCCAATGAGATTATTCTACTAATGAAAGCTTTATGTTTGGTTTGATTACTATATGAATTTTCCGTTAAGGAAAATGTTGGTGGTGGTTCGATTCGGAAATACTTCTGAATGGAATTCATCCTAATGACTAATTCTATGCTTTACATTCGTAACAATAAAAAGAGTTGTTTTACTGATTAACTTTTCCGAATTACAGATATATATATAATTTACTATTAGAATTTATTATCTTGTTTATGTCTTCTGGAACGAATAAACAAAGTCATAAATCATAAAATTTTAAGATAGAAAATAGGAAACTTGTTTAGTTTATAATTATTACAACATTTCGTCCGTAGTTAACTATATATATACATATGTATATTATTCAACAGGTTCGAGTCACATTTATTCGGAGGTGTTTTTATTCATAAAACTCTTATCAAATCTATGAATTAACAGATAACCTAATAAAAATGATAATTTCAAAGATAACCATTTTAACTACAAAGTTTTAAAGAAGTTAGTAGTAATATTAAGGAATACTGTCGCGTTAGTGTGCAATTCTAAATCTAAGATAGAATAGAAGAAGGTAGATGTTATTGATTTATGTTGTAGACTTTGAAAAGAAATACTTGCAGATAGTAAATGATTCGTGTTGTTCATTTCCATCTACTGTTAAGATCATATAAAGAAAAAAAATTTAAGATTGTAATATTCCTGTGTTTAACTAGAAAATAGCCATCCATTCTAATGAAAGCATTACACTTTGATTAGTCGTCTTCAGTGAACTTAAAAGACTAGAATACAAAACATGAGTTACTACTCAATGGTCTATTAGTGTTGAAGGTTCAAATGAAAATGGAAATCCTCATTGTAAATTAAATTTTCACAATATGTTTTAATAGTGAGTAGTATCAAATATACATAATTCATGTTTAGAGCTTTGTATAAGGCATGATAACATACTCTAACCATAATACGTCAAATGTTACCATCGGAATAAATAACAAATTTTGAACTATCTTTTAAAGATTAACGTAATTAATAGCAATGAAATATGCATGTCCTTCTGTTGGTTTATTTTTACTGTAGCAGTAAAAGGAATCATACTTTATTAGATTTAGCCCGAATAAGAAAGTGAATATAAACGAAACTTTACTCAATTTATGTGATAACTTACACATCGGTCGTTCAATAAAACAGTACCTGTAGTACGCTTGTGGATAATGGTATGATATAAGTATCCTAAATTATCTAGATTTATCAATAAATCAGCCATATATATGCATTTTCTAGTAGATCCTCAATGCAAAAATTGTCCTTGTGGTCGATATTAAATACAACAAAACAACTAGTCTAAATTCACTTGATGTTGTTTACTTGTAACTTCCCGTTGTCATTTAGGACTGCGATTGATCATTCTCTTGTTGACATATATGAATATTGTGCGCATTGCCTCGATATTGCTTGAAGTCACAAGCTTTATGAGCCAACAAGAGACTGGTTAATTGCAGTCCTAAATAACAATGGGAAGATACAAGTAGACAACACTAATTGAATATAACTTCACCCCATTGTACAAGTAGGTGGCTATCAGTACTCAGTAGCTATGTGGATAACGTGATGGCGTTTGAAGCAAACGATTCTGGGTTCAAGTCCCGTTGTAAACATCAACTCTAGGATACAGGTACATCTAGATGACGTGTCCCAAATAGGATGAGATGCACACCCTGAATTTCACTGCTAACCACCATCCATGTTTACTCATAAAACAACTAGTCATTTGAGTAAAATATGTTCATTGATTTGAAAATGATGTTGAATGTGGTTAGATGCATATTGCTAAATCTTAGTATTAATTACATAGCTTTTTTATTCAACAAATATTTGAGAATATTGAGAAATCTGCGATAGAATAGACAAAGCTAAAAACTGTTATTTAATAGTTGATATACTTTAATGATAAAGACCAAGTTTGCTATTATCATATCGTTGTATATTTGAAATTCTTCTCGCTTAAAATTGGAATACTAAAAACATAACTCCAACTGTTATATTTTGTTCTGACTTATACAAAATGAAGTTTGGTAAGTCATTCTACATTCTGTTGTTTTTCGACAGTTCACCATTCAGGAGATTAAAGTAATAACTTTATTACACCCACTTACTCAATAAGTATTACAAAAAAACGTGGATTCTGCACTATAAAATTCAATATTGAGTCACAAGTAACTAACATGTAATGCTTAATCATTTATTCTCTAGTCTCAAGGTATTATATAATTAATGAAAATTGTGCAACATTCCATCATTAAAACTGTAACTAGCTAATTGGAACCGAGTTAATGAAGAAAATCACTTTGTACCTACATTCCAATTTAGTTGCAAATATGCAGTTCATGAATGTAGATATAGATGTCCATTTCAAATCATCACATATATTGAGGTAAGATGGTGGTTGGAGGTGGTCAACAGGAAACCCTGGAACTGGGTTTCGTGCTACTTGGCACTCGTCAGCAAGGTGTACCTGTAATCTTTGAGGGAACTGATGCTCCCTGGGGGATTCGATCCCGTGTCACTCAGCTTCACAGTCAGAGACGTTACCACTGAGCTATTCGGGCCGCAACCAACCTCCTGTAGGACTGAGATCTAATCACAATTGATTGATCACTGGGTGGTGATCAATGTCATGCATGTCATGTCCTTCTTAGTGCTGATCGAATGCTATCGATCACATATATCTTTCTTTTCTTAATATCGCTAATCTCTTTCCTCATTAATGAAAAGAGCGGTATACATAGTAAAAACTGGTCAATCAGTTCTAACATTAAATATAACCTAGAGTTAATTGTAAAATTACTATATTCTCTCAATTCTGATAATATTTTTACTTTTATTTTTGTTTTTTCCACGAAAAAAAAAATAAATTTTTCACCATTTATAGAATTATTCACACTTATCTATCTATACCTGTCAGTCAAACATTCTGTCTATAACTATACAATTTTCCTTTTTTTTATGTGTCTAAGATTAGATTGTGGACAGACTTGTTTTATATATATGTGGTAAGACAATTAAAAATGTACAGACATAACAATTTATTAATACAATAGGGGAAACCATGGGGACTTGCACAACTTATGGTTCCTTTGATTATCATATATATATACTGATCATTTGTGTTAAAATAGACAAAACAGGTAGCTCTCAATCACTTATAATATATATTTAACAATGTTTACAAATATAATTAGTGTACATTATGTACATCATCATTCTAAACCAATAAACCTTTATGTCAATATAAAATATCCAAACTTGATTGTAACTTTATTAGTTCATTGATTATTATCAAATTATATTACATAGTGAAATTATTTTATTTCTATATAGTGGAACCAAAAAAAAATTTTTTCCATTTCATTATTAGAATTAACAAATTTGTTACTAAGTCACATTTTAAAAAAAACCCCAGAAAAAAACCAACTGTTTAATGTGGATTATTCATTCTCCGGGAAAAATTACTTTACATGTAAGTGATCTGATGAATAATTAATAACTTATGTGGTTAATTTTAATATTTCTATAATTATTTAAGTATTTTGATAGTGATGAATGGTGGTGCAATTTTGTGGATCAGTTGATGTTAGAAATTAATACCGTTGAATGTCGGCGAGATCAGTGATCTAGAGGTTAAGCGTACGTGTCAGAGACCGATAGGTCTCGAGTACGAATCCTGAAAGCGGGATCGTGGATGCGAATTACTGGAGAGTCTCATATCAGGACGAAATGGCTGTCAAGCAGTGCTTTTAGGCTTTTCATATTGGTCTAGCTTTAATTGATTCATGAATTCAACTACTAAATTTTAATAAATGTCTATAAACTATGGAATGCATATTAATAAATTAGATGGGAATTTTGAAAATTTACGACTAAGATAACTGGTATCATGAATTGAGAATGGTACTAAATTAGAAATCGTTCAATTTTTAAAAAAAATGTTAACTAATAGGATTCTATGAGAGTCGCCAAAATTTTCAGTTCGATCTCAAATAGGATGGTAATTGTCATTGTAATCCAAACTACTAGAAGCCAACAACCAATTGGGGTATATAAAATTAAGCACAAACGCTACATATACAATTTAGGGTCACCAAATATCACGTGAGATGTTCCTTGTGGATACATGATGTAATGCGTTTACTAATTGTTTGTTATTTTATCATTAAGATAATTGTTTAATTAAGAGTGTATGTATGATCCTATGTATGATCCTTGGTGGTCACATTGATATGGAATACTAAGGAGTCTTATCTAGGACAAAATAATTGTTGATGGTTCTCTGATTCTCTCTAAAGTCCCGAATTATACCAAGTTCTGACTAATAACACTTGAAATACATATTGGAAATTTTTAGTCACTAGAAGACATAGAGTAAATATGACTTTCATAAACCTATTAGTAGAAATAAGGAGCTTGTATTATGAACGATAAAGAAACACAAATAGTGTAAAACATGTACGATAAGATAATGGAAAAAAGTGAAAGCATCTTTTTAGATATCCGAAGAAATAATAATATTATGGTAAAGAGAAAGCTCTGATAAACTAATTTTGAATACATAACTCTGATTTTTCTATTGAGATTTGTTAAACACTATAATGTAAGATATATTTAGATGTAGAACCCTTCAACATATATATACGAAGATAAGAAATAGTAAATAGGAATTTTTTCAGTGTTCGAAAACAAATTTAATATTTTATTGTATAATGTTTTATGGTTGAAATCATGAGTCAATTGACGCTAGACTACCGTCGAAAACCTGGAAGCACTGCTTGACAGCCGTTTCGTCCTATTGTGGGATTCCTCAGCAGTGCGCGTTCACGATCCCGCCTCACGAGATTCGAACCCAGGACCTACCAGTCTCGCTCCAGAACACTTGATTAATAAACCACTGAGCCGGCATCCAACGGTGTTAATGTCTAACTTCAACCAATCCACGAAATTGAGTGACAGAATAGTTTGACTATACAAACTACTTATTGGTTATGTAACTAAACTGTAAATTTTACAACGTTATTCCGATTTAAGTTAAAATCTTTTCAGTTTGAATAATAGTATATTTAAGTATACTTTTATATAAACCTAATTCTTGAAATTCACTAGATACTACCTAAATGTTTTGCTAAATATGTCAAAAAAAAAGAATCAATGTTTATTTAGATAAGTTATTAGCAAAATAATGTTAACATTAATTAGTGTGGTGGAAAAGATTTGTAGTTCAGGTGGATGATTTTGATGAAGTTTTGTTCTCTGAGCTGGATGGTTTGGTCGTGGATCTTTCATCGTCTTTCTCAACGACATCATCAGCACCCGAAGTTTGTGTTGATGATGTCGTTGAGAAGGACGATGAAAGTTCCACGATCAAACCATCCAGCTCAGAGAACAAAACTCCATTAATTAATGTATTAAAACTAAAGATATTTATATCACGTCTTGATTAATATTATATCAAAGTATTTCAACATATTTGACTTGATTCCATCTGAATTTTTCAGAAAAATGGACGAATATGCTTTCTGCATTTAGAAAATAAAGTCGCTATCGTGAAACTTTCATATAAATACAAATTAACGGATCACTAAAAGTTGTCTATGCATTTTTAAAGCTGATAATTAGATTTCAATATAACCGTTTTAATGTATGATAATCGTTGTTAGATCCAAAGTTTATGAGATCGATTCTGTGTAGATTTATGAATAAACAGTGTTATAAAGTTTCAGACTGGAACATGGAACCTTTAAAATGTTCCTTGAGTTTTAGTGTTTCTTCCAGACGATCTCAGTTAACAGTTATAATTGTCTTCAAACGGAGTATTTTTTACAAATCTCATGTCTTAATATGAATAAAAATATTGATTTAATCGTGCGTTTAGAGTTTACTGTTATGATTATAAAGTTTAATTTGTTATTAACCGCCTATAGTTTTCTGAGTCAAAACTATTTGAAGTCTTCAAAGTCCATCGATTAGTTCGTAACTAGACTTTATGGTGGTGGAAAGTATATGTGTATTTTAGAAATATTCCGGAAAACCAAATTGCAGACCAGACAACAGATACTCAATATAGGTGAGTTATGGCTAGGAATGGAATCCAAGACATGGGTTTCATCCTACTTGGTACAAGTCATCCCAATTTACCCTGGTTCCAGTGATGATGCTTTCATTGCTAGTCACTAAACGAATATATTAAAAATATATAACTCAAGGGTATCTCAATGTATGTATGCCAACATAGAATAATCGATTGTAGTAATTTATATAAACAACGGCAAAATTCGAACCGTCACATGTAAGATAACATATATTCACATTTGTTTGTATATGACTGTTAAATTTTCAAATGATCATTACATTGTCATCTCTTTTAAACTGTTATACTTAACTTGTCTCAACCTGTTGTGTACGATTTCCAAACATGTCAACTTATTTAAAAAGTTAAATAACATAATGAAATATTGGGTCTTGTGAACTTTGCATAGAGTATTGATAAATGAAGTTGGAAAATGTTTTGAAAGACTTTCAGTATGAAATATTACTTGGTGTGTAGTTAATGGTGTACGTATGTAAATCATTGAAAAAGTCACTACTTCATCATTATAGTGTACAATTTTAATCATATTTAGTGTTAGATTTCATCAAAACTGTTTTATTCAAATTAGCAGCAGAAAGCAAAAGATCAATGTTTTCTCTGTTCAATGAGTGTATTATATCCAGTAGTTTCGGTCATTTTAATGTTGGTTTATCATTTAAATACTGAGTATTAGAGTAAAACTTACGTAAGAGATTTCATTTTAAGCTTATTGTTTCACAATATTTTTGTATTTCATTAGCATCATCGGGGTACTGTATACTAGTATGTTCATAAGGAATACTATCCGACTAATATAGACACTTCAAATGAAAAATTTATTGAAAATTAAACCACAATATGTGGAACTCGACCACCAAATGAATTGAAAGATGAGATTAAGTACTAAACGCAATATATTTATTGAGCAATGAACACATTTCGGATAGTTTCAGCCAAATCAAATGTGAATTAAGCTTTACGTTTACTATTTTGATTTCCCCTGAGTGCTTATTGATTCAGTAGTCACTAACTTAAATATAACTAATCATACTCCAGTAGCTTAGTGAATGAAAATTAAGGATGCACAGATCAATCAGTTAGTAAACTAATCATTTTCAAATGACTGATTAGATTTCAAATTAACCAGAAAACTATAATAATATCCCTGGGGGAAATTATAATCAAAACTCTTATAAACATGTGCTAAAATTGTAGTCTGGTTCGTTAACAAAACAACAAATTTTACTATCATTATCAAATAAGACAAAACAATTAATTAGAGACTTTTCCATTAGTTGTATTTTAGTATAATTTACATGACTAATTAGTTGTTTTTAACTGAAAATTAGTCATATCTATATAATTACACCTATTATCAGGTTAGGGTTTTTTTGTAGAGATTGAAGTAATTTACTAATTGAATTCATGAGTTAATTAGAGCTAGATCATCTGGGTCTGAATTCCGCTTGTGGTATCATGGATGCACACTGCTGAGGAGTCCCATACTAGGACGAAACATCCGTTCAGTACTTCTAAGTTTTCCATGGTGGTCTAGCCTTAATCAACTCACGGATTCAACTATTAAATTACACTTATCTCAATTTATCTAATTATCAAATTAAATAATTTGAAAAGTAATTGTTTAGTTAAACAACATATTAGGAGAAATACAGTGATTAAGAAAATAATCAGAAGGGGTTTTTGTGGAGATTTAGTATTTCCATAGTTAAAAACATGAGTCAATTGAAGCTAGACTTCAAGAGATAATTCTTGGAGTTCTAGTGAGAAGCAGTGATCAGTGGATTTCAAACCACGTCTGCAGTGAGATAGGAACTCATTGAAGACATTGGTGAATAGTTGCTCAATTTCGTGGATTGGTTGAAGTCAGACATTACCACAACCGGATGCCGGCTCAGTGGTCTGTTGGTTAAGTGCTCTGGCGCGAGATTGGAAGGTCCTGGGTTCGAATCTCACGAGGCGAGGTCGTGTATGCGCGCTGCTGAGGAGTCCCATAATAGGGCGAAACGGCCGCCAAGCAGCGTTTCCAGGTTTTTCTTGGCGGCATAGCTTCAATTGACTCATGCTCTCAATTAAGAAAATAGACCATTGTCATAAAACAAACCAATTTGTATAATTAACGGAAACCAATACACAATTTATTGATTATGAATTTTATTTACATTTTAACTTGAACTCAGAAAAGAAAAACAAAAAAATAATATTTTAATGATTGTCTAACCTAATTTGGTCTTTAATGTAAACAATGGGATTTAATAATCTCCAAAAACTTTTTATAGCATTGAATAACATGTCAGTTATCTCATAGTTACTTCAAGACTTCTAATCTTTGTTGGAATGGAGATCTTGAGGGCGGGATCGTGAATGTAGACTGTTGAGGA